TGTATCAACTCAGGAGTTTCCCGGTGTCCAAGTTGAAGTGCTAATGACATATTGTCCTAGCCAAGAGAAGTGCTGGAAACTTGGAAAAAAAGGGAGTACGGATTGCTTATATTAAAGCCATACAAAGATATGTTATGAGGGGGTTAAAAACTTAGTATAAGAAGCCTAGTGGTCAAACAAAGGATTTTCCTATAAAGATTGGGCTACATCAGGGATCATCTCTGAGTCCTTATTTGTTCAATTGTGATTTTAATGTTTTGAGGAACATATTCAACAAAATCCCGAAATGTATGCTCTTCGCGGATGATATAGTTCTTATAGCAGAGACAAGAGAAGAGGTTAATGCAAACTTGAGTTATGGAGGAGGACATTGGAGTCGAAAGGTTTTCGTCTGAGTAGAAGTAAGACGGAATATTTATATTGTAAATTTGATAAGGACTATTCGAAAATAATTTGGAAGTAAAATGGGAGATCAAATTATACCTCAGTGGAAAAAGTTTATATATTTGGAGCCATTACCAAAATGATGGCGAATCAGTGGAGATATTTCACATAGAATTCAAGCTGGGTGGTTAATTGGAGAAAAGCTAAAGGAGTTATTTGTGACCGTAAGGTGCCTAATAAACTTAAGGAAAGTTTTATCGTACTGCTATCAGACCGGCAATGTTATCTAGTAGTGAATGCTGGTCTCTAACGGGACAGCAAGAGCATAATTGGAGTCAGAGCATAGCAGAGTGAGAATGTTACGATGGATGTGCGGACATACACGTAAGATAAAATTCGAAATGAGCACTACGTGAAAAAGTGAGGGTGGCACCTATTGAGGAAAAAATGTAGAAAATCGTTGAGATGGTTTGGGCATTACAACGAAAGACCAAGGGATGCACCAGTGAGAGAGTGGATGGAACATATAACTTTGAGTCGATTCAGAGGTAGAGAAGGCCTAAGAGAACACTCTTGGAGTTGTGAACGTGATCTCTTAATTAATAATATTTCTAACAGCTTAATAATGATAGAGCACATGGCGCTTGCAATCCCTGTAGCCGACCCCACCTAGTGGGATAAAGGCTTGTTGTTGTTGTTGTTGTTTGTTGTTGTTTAAAATCTTTTTGCCATCACTAGAATGATGCTGTTAAATCAAAAAAATACAAGGTCACAATTTTAGTAGCATTATGTCAAAATGGAATGTTAAAACATTCAACTAATTCTCAAAAACGATAAAAATTCACAAGGAGAATCTCAGATGAGTAAGGAAAACATCAAGTCTGACAAGAAAGACCACCAGCAGCACTGCAGCAGCAAGCTGGGCAGTCTTTAGACCCAGATCTGCAACAAGATTCTTCATTGTCCTCCTTGCACAGAATTTTCGCAAACAAAAGCAACAAAATAAGTTGGAAGTGTGCTGGAAAACGACTTATGAAAGCAAAAGCATTAATGATACATGAATATCATCTTATAGTAGCACCTAGAAAACAGAGTCATGCTAAGATCCGGATATGCAGGAAAATGAATATGTAACTTTTAAGACATATAAGAAAGTAATCATCAATATATCAATATCAATATAAAATGTAAAATCTCCATCAAACTACGTTATTTACAAGCCATGAACAATGCAACTCATTTCTCAGACTCCGTAAATTGTACCAAAAAACAAACTTGTCTAGTTATATATAATGGCAATATGGCATGAAATTGGGGTCAGTTAGATAGTGCCATCTTCAACCATAGAAAGTTTTGTGGAGGATTCCACACAGACACCTATGAAGAATGGGAATCCAATGTAAATATGAATTAACTTATACAAATGATATTGCTGCAAAAGCAATTGGTCCAGAACTGGAAACAACAGCAAACAAAATACAATAAACTATAATTAGCAGCAAGATTTCAGTAGCAGACAAAAAAAGATGCGAGTCGTGTATAGTTTCTAGTGCAATTGTGCGTGGCTGAACAGGTTTAAACCTCTAACAAATCATATAAAGATAAAATTAACTCCTTCATAAAGAAACAAACAAATTACGATGAGCCACTTCCTGATACACACTTCACCCCCTCCAGCTTGAGAAAATTCACAAGCCATTCTTTAGTCTAAGTAAAATCAACCGCCGCACATTGCAGTACATACAATAACATGCAACCAGCGTATGTTCTAGGTGATACACAGCAGAGACAAAAATCACCAACTGCGTACGAATTAAAGAACGGTCACCAAGTAGAATCATGAATTACGAAATGAAAACGCTCAAAACAATCAATTTCTCTGAAACCTTGAATCTTCAATCAAATATAGATAGATTTCAGCAATTAAAACTGAGCCAACGACAGAAAATGTAGGATAGGACTACTTGTGAGGTTGTTATAAATTAAAAACAGAGGGAGGCCCCAGAGTTCACCAACTCCATGAGAAAAGGAAGAACCCTAGGAACACTATATCAGGACAATTGAAAGAACAGAGAAACAGATTATGGCATTTGGAGCGGATGATAAGCCATCACATGAGATTCTACAAGATGACGACAACGGCGGCGGCAATTTTCAATGAGAAGTTTACAGTGAAGATGCAGGGTTTGCATTTATATACTAATTCTAAGCATTCTTCCCTTCTTTTTTTTTTTTTTTTCAAGAAACTAACTCCGTCCTTGAATGTAAGAAAAACTGTTGGTCAAAAGAAAAAAGAAAAAACTAACATACGTCTCTTTATTTTTATTTATTTATAATTAAAATTATAAAATTTAACAAATATTTATTTATTTTTCTCAATTCTCAAATTATCTTTTATATAGTAAATATTTAGTTCAAGCAAAGCCCCGCGGAATTTCTTTATATATATATATTTAAAAATGAAGGAGAATCTAACATGAGTTAGATAGTTTTTTTTAATAGGCAAAACATCAAGATAAAAATTGTATTTCAGATTCAATTGATTTTGAAAATTCTCTGCAAGTTCAAAGTCTCCAATTGAAATTAAATTTTCTTGTCCAATAACTAAAATTCCCTTTCTTTATTAATTCCCCGTTGTCAAGAGTTGATCAAATCCTGGAGAGAGGCCAATGGGGTGTAAATCCATGATCGATTGATTCCCCAAAACATAGGAGATCACTAATCAACTAAACCTTTTTAATAGGAAAAATTACTTTGCAAGTTTTTATAATTTTTCTTAATTTTAAATTAAGTTCCTACAATTTATTTTATTTCTATCAAACTTTTATAATTTAATTTATTAGATTTGTGAATCCTAAATGTTAAAATTAATAATAAATTATAACTTTTCCAAAACAAAAATATTTTTGAAGTGTAAAAAATTTGATTTAATACTTTTGGCTAAATTGTAAGGAAAAAATTGATTTGAGACACTGTTTGCATATTTATTAATTTTTTATAAAATTCTATATGAATAAAAATTACTCCCTCCGTTTAAAATGTAGGGCATTTTTTAAGAAGTTGGATGTTAAAAAATATAAGGCATTTTTAGTCTTTCAAGGTGTAATCATTATCTTTTTTTCAAAAAATCCCTATTAATAATAACTTTATATTTATTGTAGGATGTTAATAGAGCTAAATATGAAAATATAAGGTTAGTTAAAAAGTAAGTAACTACTTTATTTGGGTGAGATTTGATTAAAAATGCCTTACATTTTTTAACGAAGTGAGTATTTATAAGACAACCAATTATATAAAATTTTAATTATAAAAACTATATAATTAAATATAAAGTTATATAATATTTTAATGAAAATATAAAAGTTCTCAATTTTATTTTTTAAAGTAAAAAAATAAGGATTTTTACCCTTCAGGAAATAAAAAATTTAATGGATCAAACTATAAAACTCAATCAAAACACAAAATAAATCGAAAAGACCTAATTCAATATTAAGAAAAACTGTAAGGATATAGAAATACATTATCTCTTCAAAATATAAGGTTAAGGGTCATCTTTAACTATAAATTATACACAAAATGTCATAATTGTCCTTAAATTTAATTATAAGTCAATTTTGCCCCTCAATATTAAAGATTCCTTCTATTATCATCGTGCCATTTTCTCATCATTAATTGACCGTTAGTAAACTTCACATTATATTGTTTAATATTTTTTATTATAAAATATTTAAATTGAGGGGTAAAATGATCCTTAACTTGACAAAAAATATTAAAAATAGTAGGAGCCACTGATAACTAATGGACGTTTAGTATTTTTAATGTTAGAATAATAACAGTGAGAATTTTAAAATTAAGGGACAAAATTAACTAGTAATTGAGTTTAAATACATTTGTAACATTTTATGTACAGTTTGAAAACAAGAATGATCTTTAACTTTAAAATATATAATGCAAACTGTAAACTAATATATATTATAAGTTTCATGTTCAAATATTTCCATGAGTCATTACTAATTTTGGAGAAGTTATTACTAATATCCAACTAATAATTTGTTAATCATTGAACATGACTTTTTAATATTCAACAAACAAATTGTTGATATTTTGAATGATTTTTCACAAGTCATGTTCAAGAGTGTTAAAACAAATTTGTGTAAATTTTGGAAAAAAAACTTATAGCAAAATTAAAAATAATATGTATTTGTGCTCTTTTTTTAATGCAAGAATGATAAAAAATCCTAAAAGAATCAATTAATTCAAATTAGATCTTAAATATTAAACTTCAATAATTTAAAACTCAATCTCTCAATTTTACAATTACATCGTGACAAATTTACAAATTATTTTTTAAATTTCACGTGGTTGAAAAATAAAAAATTTATTTTTCTTATTTAAATTTAAATATAAATTATAAATTCATCATAATAAAATTGTAAAATAAGAGATTGAATTGTAAATTCTTGAACTTTAACACCTAAGACTTAACTAAAATTAATTAACCCTTTTAAAACCTCTTGTCATTCTCCCTTTTTGATTAGGAGGGAAAAAGGTTTCCTCCCCTCCCCAACATCTACACCAAAGAGCGAAGAGGTTCTCATTCTATTTCAAAGCATGGCTAGAGCAAAATGAGGAACACTTTATTTATTCATCCTGTCAACACACTAAAATACTTCAAGAGTTCTTGGTGCGTTATTCTGCTCATAGCTTGCTCATTGAAACTTAACATGCTATATCTAGGAAGAGCAAATTGATCTTTGCTTTCTCCCAAATCAGCTTCAGATAGAATTCCTTCCATTCTCCAAATCAAACAAGAACCATATCTCATTCACCCTATCATCATACTCAAAAGGGGCATTGTACTGAGCAACAATATAAACAGAAGCATGCCCGGCTCTGTGACTCCTTTCAATGGCAGAAGACCACTCAGTGCCTGCAATACTGGCCTTCAAGGCAGCAGCTTCTTCCCCAACATTTGAATCTCTCACAAAACCACTGAACTGCCTTACTGCTACATACACAGGCTTCCATCTTTGGACATGGAGACCTGTTGCTGATGGAGGGTTTGCTTGGTTCTTCTTTGGCACATAGAAGCTTACCACAAATGAGGATTCACAGAAAGGTCCATCACTAGGTGATATTTCAGTGATCACAGGCCCTGTCATCTCAATCTTTTGCTTGTAGTTGTTCTTGCCCTGAATATAATCAAATAGCCTGTAAAACATGAACACAGTACACAGGATTAATGAAAGACTCGTTCATTATATTTGCACTTGTTAGTTCTTATTTAGGACTAGATTAGGCAAAACGCAAGTCTTTGACATTAAATTAACGGATGCATATGAAACTTATTGGTATTTTTTTTTTCATAAATCAGCACCACACCATTGACTATTCCATAATTGGTTCCATTGCATGCCAAGCTTCAATGAAAGAAATGCCGCTGAACTTCCTGTTCCTCGTTTATAAAAAAGATGAGATAACTCAAACATTAGGCAACATTTGATCAAAATAGACCCCCAGCGTCTGGTTAATAAAGCATATTTACTAGTGTTACATGCAGATATTATATGTCAGTTGGACGTATTTAAAGTTGAGTCCAGCTTGTGCATGCTCCCTGCATTGTCATTTGGCAAAGTTCTCATCTCACAGAGCAGAACAGGTCATCTCATTGAAGGCTTCTAAGCGTTACCAAGTGAATATAAATCTATTGAATTTGCTGAGGCTTTGTCCAAATTGAGGGGGAAAATTGTGAAGAAGAACAAATCAAGTACGAGTAATACTAGTGAACTTGAGAAGTTAATAAATTCCCAATAAATTATTAAGAGAGAATCTATCTGTTTCGTTCTTGACTTTTAGAAATACATATGTTCAATTCTTGAAAAGTTTTTCCCACAACATGACTTTATCTAATCAGTGACAGAATTCAAACAAGTACCAAGTAAACTATAAAGCAAAAAATATATAGCGAACAAGCAGTTAAATAAGTATCCAAGTCTTCAGTGAGCGAGAATTTGTCACCATTTTCAGCAACCAAACACTAACAATAGATTAATGTGCAGATAGTCAAAAATCACAAAGGATTACTCAATCATGCATTATTAATCTTCGTTCACCGAAGTTAAATCATAATTAATCAATTAATCTTCATCGGACAATAGCAACAAACAAGAACCAACTCAATACTTGAGAAATTCCCAAAGAAATACCTCCGAGAGAGGATATTTACCTTAAGAATCCAGTTCTGGTTGCTTCAACAAGAGAAATGTCTTGAATGGAGGAGGTGGAGGCCCAGACAGTGGAATTATAGCGGCGGATTTCGAAGCCGTCGCCGACATGAATCAAATCGTAGGAAGGGCACTCGATACGCTTGCATGTGGAGGAACCTTCGCGAAGCTTGAAACCGATGCGAGGATGAAGCTTAACAGCAGTGAGAGCTTCAATGCGGCCATGGCTGAACGCTACTTACTATACTCCGCGCGGTGCGTCTTCACAAAGCCTAGAAAGCTCAAATGGATGAAGCTCCGAAATTTCCATGGCCGTGAAGAAGCAACGAACAGTGACCGCTGATTATGGAAACGGCTGATTTCGAGCAATCGTGGCCGTCCATAAAGACGGTTCACATCCAGCCAAGTAAAAAGACAAGCACTTCTAGACCAGTGATTCAGTGAACCTATTATATATATATATATATATATATTATATAACATAATTGGAATTTCAGTGAAAGGACGTTCACTCAATTTAATTTCAGTCAAAAGCTCTGTAAAATTTTAAGATTTTACTGTTATATGTGAGAAATTGAAATAAAATTAAAAAATAATTAAAATGATCTTATTTTAATAGATAAAAAATAAATAATTAATATAAATAAAATTTATAATTTTCATTATCAGCATACCAACACTATAAATTTACAATTTTTATTTCATATACATCAATTATTCTTTTTTCCTGCCAACTTCTTCCATGTGCCAGCTTCATTTTATTGTAGAGAACAGTAAGGGAGGCGGAGAATAGCCCATTTTCATTAATGGCAAATTTATAAGCAATGCAAACAATTTCCCCAATCCAATCTCCGGTCTTCTTCGTGCACTTCAGCTCTTTTAATTTTCCCGAATAATTATTTAAAAATTTATAGTTATTTTAAAGAATTAAAAAAATCAAAAACATCTGTTGAATGTTTTGTTATTTTTGTTTTGCAAAACTAAAAAAAAGTTAAAAAAATCATGTTTTCATTAATAACAATTATGTTAATAAAATAAATTATTCTTTCACTTTTTATTTCATCAATTTAGATATTTTTTTTAAAATGATGCTTTAAACTGATTTTTTTTTTATTTCTTATTTCCAAAACTTATTCTAAAAACCTGTTATACAAAAATTATTTTAATAACATAAAAACAGAAAACAGAATCAAACGACAACGAGTCCTTGATCTTTCAAACAACAAAACAAAAATAGAATCAAACAAGCTCTTTATTTCTCCCCCATTAACTTCAAGTAGAATGCCTTCCATTCTCCATATCAAACAAGAACCAAATCTCATTCACCCTATCATCATACTCAAAAGGGGCATTGTACTGAGCAACACAATAAACAGAACCATATCCACCTCTGTGGCTCTTTTCAATGACAGAAGACCACTTAGTGCCTGCAATACTGGCCTTCAAGGCTGCAACTTCCTCCCCAACATTAGAATCTCTTACAAACCCACTGAACTGCCTCACTGCTGCATACACAGGGTTCGATCTTCCCACGACGAGATCTTTTGCGAGAGGAGGGTCTGCTTGGTTCTTCTTTGGCACATAGAAACTTACCACAAATAAGGACTCATATAAGGTTTCATTAATAGGTGCTACTTCAGTGACCACAGGTGCTGTCATCTCAATTTTTTCCTTCTTGTCATTCTTTCCTTGGATATAATCAAATAACCTGTAAAAATAAAGACATTGCGCAAGATTAATGAAAGGCTCATTCACTATATTTGGACTTGTGCGCTTATTTTGGACTCGATTGAAAAAACCAAGTCGCTAAACCATTTCCATTCGAGAACCGACATTCCCAGCAGAGCACCAATGAAGGCAGTGGCGAATGCAGGACACTAAACCAGTGATGCATAAATTATATAAAATATATATATAATAATAATAATATTAATTTAATATATATATAAAATAAATATTTAGTTTAACTTAGTTTTGTAAAATAATATTAGAAAAGAAAAATTATAATGGTATTTTTATAAAAATAATCTAAATTTAAATATGATGGATTTAACTACTCAATGTTTTGAACTCAGATATATTTTACTTTAAATCTAGTGAGTTCAAAACTATTGAGGTAATAAGGGGGCAAATTTTTAATCTCGTGAGTTCAACCTACTTTTTGTAAATTTACTCAAGTTGAGGGGGGACACTTCCCATCCTCATCTATATGTGCATCTATGATTGAATGAAGTCACTTTCGGCTTCCTGCCGAGCAGAAAACTCCATAAAACCAACCTTTCACTAAAGCACTAATGTACGAATATAAGTATAAAAGGATAGTACATTTTAAAAGATTAATATGTTGGGTGGAAAAATCTATTTATGTTTATGAATCTCACTTTACTTGTGAAGCTTCTCCATGTTAAATTCATAACACATGAACTCTTCCATTAATGATGCATGCAGTGTTTAATTAATTAAAGACAGCAAAATAAAGTTTATTCTGTTCCTCACTCATAAAACGAAGAGCAGTCATTGAATGCCGAGATAATTTTTGGACGATGTAACTCATGCATTAGATAACATATAACCAAAATAAACAGTGTCTGATTAATAATAAATAGTTAGTTAGTAGTATTAAATATAGATAATAGATTAGATGTCAGTTGGATGTATGTAAAGCTGAGTCTAGTTTTCGGACACTCCCTGCACTGTTTATTTTATATTGTCAACCTTACTTGAAATATATATAAATATATATATCTGAACACACATCTTATCAATTTGGTTATTGAATTTTCAAAATAAATGTTCAATTGACAATAGTAATCAAGTAATTAAATATGCATCTCCTAGTCTTCAATGGGCGAGAATTCGTCAGCATTTTCAGCAACCAAATGCAGACAATATAATAACATGGAGAGAGTCAAAAATCATAAAGGACTCAATCATGAGGGAAAAGGATAATATAGATCTTGTAAAGGCATTAATAATAATTAAAAACATTAATTTATTGAAATGTTATAAAAGGATCATGATCTTTAATTATAATTAAAAAATAAGTATTAAAATAATTAATGAAATATAATTAATGAATTTAAATAAAGTTAGTTGTGAATTTAAATAATGTTACTTGTGAATTAATGAAAGGTCAATTGTGAATGATAGATATTTTATAAATTTGAAAATAGTTACTTACAAATTTTAAGAAGATCATTGCTAAATTTATAAAAATTTAATTATGAATGAATAAATATTCTCATAAATTTATACATCATTTGTGATTTAGGGACAATTTATAACGAATTTAAGGATTGTCATTAGTAAATATATAAATCAATAGTTGTGAATGAATATGAATAATATTAATTATATATCAATGATACAAGGACCTCTCATGTTTCTATAAATATTCATTCAGAATCGACTTTTCATAAGTTCACAGATAATTTTTTAAGAATTCATGATGCATATATTTATGAATTATATTTATCAATTTACAATTACTTTTTATTTATTCATAAAAATAATTTCTTAAATTCACACTGAACTTCCCTAAATTTCATGAGTGATATTTATTAATTATTCTAATAATTAAAAATATTTAATTATTACAAATAAAGATATCCTTCTCTGACATTTTAACAATTTAAAATCTTCAATTTTCATTAGTATCTTCGCAAATTCCATATTATCCATTTCTAAAATTAAACCTCGTTCACAAAAGCTAAATCATTCGTACAAACATAAGTACATACGCACAAAAGTGTGTGTCTATAATCAATTAATTTCCAATGGACTTAGCAAACAAACAAAACCGGAACTGAATACTTGAGAAATTTCCAGAAATAGAAAGAGATTAACCTGGTGAATGCAGCTTTGGTGGCTTTAGCAAAAGAAATGTCTTGAAATGGGTAGACGGAAGCCCAGAAAGTGAAATTATAGTGGCGGATTTCGTAGCCGTCGCCGATGTGAATCACATCGTAGGAAGGGCACTCGATGCGCTTGCACGTCGGAGGAACTTTCGCGAAGCTTGAAACCGATGCGACGAGGAGGATCAGCACCAGCACCAATGAGAACTTCAAATTCGCGAGAGTGGCGGCGGCCATGGCTGAAGTCTGACGTAATTCTGATGAGAAAGTAGATCTGTTCCGAGATCTAGAAAGTGGTGAATACAGATTACAGTTAGCGCAGCGAAGCTAGACTGGAAAATGGGGTCTTAGTACGTATTGGAAGAAGGCGATCACTGATTTCAAGAAAGAGTAATTAAGTATCATTTGTCGTTTGGAAGGTGCTGAAAATTAGTGATCCATATTAAAAGTTGCATAGATAATTATTAAAATAATGCTATAATTTAATTTAATCAAACAGGCTAGATTGACTCAAACAAATGGGCCAGTTTCTTTTCTTTTCCTTCTTCTTCTTCTTCTTCTTTTTTTTTTTTGGATAAACCAGAGGCTAAACAACAATAGACAAAAAACAACGCCTAGGAAAGCTCAAAACAAAGGAGGCTACAAAGGTACCAGGGAAATTATAAATTTTATATATTTTATCTCATTTTTTCGTGCATTTTAATGATAATTGTGAGTTAATTTAAGTATTAAACATTATTTAAATTTTTAGCCAATTTTAAGAAATAATACATTTTTAGATTAATTATAAAAATTTTGAGCTTGAATTATGAATATTTTTTTTAACATGGTTTAATTTTGTCAATTTTTAGTTGAGTTTAATTTAAATTATTATACAATAGGAAAAATTAATTTTTAGTCCTCTAACTTTTAATTCACTTATAACTCAGTCCCTCAACTATAACTCACTTATGACTCAATCCCTCAACTTTTGAATCACTTACAAATTAGTCCCCAATTTTTGTCAATTTTTTTCATGTTAACTTATATCTTACATCAATGAGCAAGATGAGAATATTTTAGAATAATATATGAGCATTTTTTATCCCTCTTATTTGATAAAAAAATTTTAAAAAATTAAAAAATAAGGACAAATTATAGGTGAATCAAAAGTTGAGGGACTGAGTTGCAACGAATCATATTAAGGGATTGACTTACAAGTGAGTTAAAAGTTGAAAGATTAAAAGATTAATTTTTTCTATACAATATTTGAGTTTTTGGAAATTTTGTGGAAAAATTGTAAATGCTGAAAAAATTAATTTAAAAATATTTTATAAGACGTGAGATTTATTTTGGATATAGCATATACTAATAGGTGTATTTAATTTTTTTTAAACCATTGAGATAAAATTAATAGAATTCAATGGTAAAGATTAAATTTTAAATTAAAAGAGTATTTAAGGGCTATCAAAAAATAAAAAAAAAAGGAATTATCAAATTACGTTTAAGGGTATCATGAGTATTTCCAACCAAAAAAATTAAATAACTTTCATACTTTTTAAATTTTTTTATTAACTCTTTTTAAATTTAATGGCTAAATTTTTTTTTAAACTCTGACTCTTCTAATCATCGGATCATTTGTCTCCAAACTCTCTCTTCCCCTCACCAATTTACACAGCCGCCGGAAGAGAAGAAAAGAGGAGCCCTCTCTGTGTGGTTTCAACTTATTTTCTCCGTGCTATCCAACTCCTCATCACACACCCACTCACTGAATTTAATCATTTATTTCATTATCACATTCACATTTTCTCTCCTTCTCAGTCAATTATTCATGTCATCACTCCAACTCCAATCATTCTCTTCCATTATTTTCCATTCCATCATTCTTCTTGTGCCACCTCACCCTTTTTTTTTTTTCACCACCAGATTCGTGGACACAAAAAGTACTGCACCATCCAAAAAAAAAAAAAAACATTTCATCCGCCCACCTATTAATCTCCATTTATCATCATCTCATGGCCGTGCAGATTCCAAAAGTGCAAGGAGGAGGAAGAAACTTCATAAAAGCTTAAGCTAGCTTCGAAATAATTTGAGAGAAATATGGAAAAAGTTAGAATTTAGAATTTGCATTTGAAGACTATTGAAAAGTAATTTTTATTTATCTTTTTAATTCAAGAGTTTGTAATTATTTAGTTTTAAATAATTTTAAGTCACAATTCTTGAGTACAATTTAGTTTTAGGTTGTAAATATTTTAAATTTTGAATTAGATTGATACTTAAATTGAATTTGAGTTGAATGAATTTTTGAAATTTATGTTTATATATCCTTGCATTGCCAATTAAATCAATGATTGAATTCTCATTATTGATTTAATTGTTATTTTGGTGACTATTACTTTTACCTCTTGATTGTTCAATTGCATTGGTTATTTGTTTAATTGTTCCATTAAATAATTCAAACATTTTTTTCAGATTTGCTTTTGAAATTAACTATCATTGGTCTTAATAGGTTTAATTGGCCTAATTCATAGTTGTAATATTTGGTTTACTATGAGTTTTCTAGTGGATTAAATATTAAATTTTTTGCTTGTTGATTCCTTTTGCTTTAATTGGATAATTGAATTTATTAATTTCACTTCCCTATCCTAATATTTCTACTTTTATGAAGATCATTCATCAACAAATGCTCTTGTGAGATAGTCATATAAAAGTTTTACATCTCTGAGGTATCTTGGCTTCCACAACTGCCTGTAAAACACCGAAGGTGGAAAGTCGTCCTCACAGCACTAGGAATAAGCTGACTTAGTTGAAAATCTCAATTCTTCTCAAAATTCCAATGAACCATAGGCTGACCATTATTCAAAGTCAAATGCTGAAGACTAGATTCAAGTAGGTCCCAGATCTATTTAATGCCACTCTAGAATCTGAACCTAGGCTTCTTACGTTCAATCTTAGGAATCAGATCGCCACCATACTTATACTTTGATTGAATAACATTGACCCAAAGTGACTCCTTCTTGTGAATAAGACCCCACCCTTTCTTCATAATAAAGGCTTGGTTTTGGCCACTGATTTCTTCATACCTAAACAACCTTTCCTTATATCCCTACAAATATTATCCCAGGCTAGAAGGTGAATTTTTTCCTCTCATAGTCCTAAGGAAAAGCCCTTGACTGTTTCTTTAACTCATCACACGCCCTCTAGGAAGCAATATAGTTTGCATTGGATATTGGGGAACAGCAATCAAAACAGAACTAATAAGAATATTCCCACCTGCCAAAGAGAGATTTTTGGCCTTCCAATTACTAAACCTTCCTTAGCCTCGGCCACCACATACCAATAAGTCGCATTAGTAACTCTCTTATGGTGCATTGGTTACCCCTAAATATTTTTCCAAAATCTACAGTATAGGTAAATCCCAAAAGATCAGACAATGGAGCACTATTGGCATGACCCACATTAGCATGAAAGAAAACCAAAGTCTTAGCTTGATTAACGTTTTGTTCCAAAACCAAATAGAATTTATCTAAGCTAGGCTTAATAACCTCAATTTGGTCAACGGTCACCTTCACAAATAAAATAAGATCATCTGTAAAAAAAAAAATGTGAGAGAGCATGACCATTCTTGGTAAGCCTTATAGGCCACCACTCTCTTTTTTGAATATCATCTTATATAATATGAGCCAGTTTCTCAATATAAATCACAAAAAGATAAAGAAAAATCGAATCACCTGTGTCCTACCCACACATGATGGTGAAAACTCCTTTGTCTTGTAACTATCCCAAAGAACTTGCATCTTAGAAGAATCAAGACAACTAGAAATATAGATCATCTCCAAAGCTTGTGAAGCTCCATGAGACAGTCACAAACAAACTCCTTTTATTGATATGTATGATTTTATCTAAAAGTATCTTATAATTTAAGATGGAGAGAATACTAATTTTTTACAAAAATCAAAATTACATTAAAGATAAAAAAAGAATGTTGAGGAAGAGTATATTCAGAACAGAAGTTGAGAAGTAGAGACTAGAGAGAGAAGTTCATCTTGCACCCACCTTAAAGAGCATATATTTTTACTATCCGATGAGTGATTCTAAAGTAGATTTTTTCCCTATAATTCAGTCATATCCATCTCTTTGATCCAGACTAATTCAGTTGACAGTTTGCAGATACTTCTTTGGAGGCATACCTTTTATTAAGAATTTAATCACTATCATGTACCCATAACTTAAATTCGAGACTTCTAGTTAAGTTGTGTTATCCCTAACCAGTTGATTTAAACACTCAATAATATAAGGATAGACTTTATGGTTAATATGGCAATATTTGTTCTAAATATCATTATTAATTTATTATGAATATTTTTGTAAAGGCTTAAAGTGTATTTTTATCTTTGTATTTTCTTTGAAAAGTGCCAAGTACTTTATACTAATAAGTAGGGTATTTTTCTCCCTAAACTATTTTCAAAGAGCAAAAATCCTTCTCCATTAGTAATTCTTAACTTTGCTATTTTCTACTAATTGTCTTGGAACTCTTTTTTAAGAGCGCCATGCACCCTAATATTTTATAAAATAAAATGTAATAAAGATTATTAAAATATTTAACATTGAAAAATTTTAATTTTAAAATTACTATTTATAAAAATATTCATAAAAATTTATAAATTATTGTTTAATATTAATAGCTCGAATTAGTTTTTAAGAAATTTATAGATGACTTATAAATTATGTGTGGAGTATTTAAATAATAATGACAATAATATTTTTAAATAAATTATTAAAATAATACTATAAAAAATTAATAATGATTAAGTCCTTTAATTTATTCTCTGTAATGTTTTTGGAAGCTAATGGTCTTCAAAAATACTGCACCATCCAAATTAATATTTTGCAACTTTATATTAAAAAAAGGAAAGAAACTTCCAAATAAATAAATAATTTATCTTATTAATTTGTAACTTATTTTTTTAATTTTAAAATAAAATTAAAAATATATTGCGTTATATGAAAATTCTAATTAAGAACAAGTTAGACTTCAATTCTAAATATTTGTTAATTTAATCGTTAGTTAACCCAAAAAAGTAATAGAAAATAACCTAGAAAATTTAAAAAATTAATCAACATTAATTTTTTTAAAGATCATTTTCTCATTAAATATGAATATTTTAACAACATTTATTAAATTTTATTTTAACAAAATTTTAAAATGCTCAACATTTCTATAAAAAAAGTTCAGAAATAAATTAAAATCAAAACATGTCACGTGAGTGAAAAAACAGTAGAGTTAACAGGTCAAAAGAAAAATTTTCTTCCTTCAAAAAATGGTTTAAGTAAAAAAAATGTCACACTTATTAGTACAAGATGCCCAGCATTTATTGAAGCAGAGAAAAATGCACTTCAATGCAATTTATAAA